ACATGACAGAAAGCATTCAAATTTGTTAGAAATGAAATACCTTTGTATTGGTAGAATGTATAAGTTACTGTTGGAAAGTTGAAACTAAATTAGAAGTGCACATGGTGTGCAGGAAAAAACATAAGATAGAAGAGTTTATGAATCTTGATTAATTTGGGGAACACAAATTTCCACTTCTATTTAGAGGTGACCAATTTAAAAGCTAAAGTTCTCTTAATCAGCAAGCTTTTGTAATGAAATGCAGCGGGACTTACTTTTATATCAAAGGAGCTCCCCTGGTAGTTAAAGAATGCAACTGAATACAATTAAAAGATCACTGATAAGCAGAGTGCAGTTCCTTAGCTGTATTCAGGGAGAGAACACTTAATAATCTAGAGACTAGCGACACTTTAATGAGGAGTTTAAACTTATTGGCCCTGCATCTCAGAATTTATCAATACTTATTACCTAGATTTTCATTTCAAAGTAATGAGTAAGAATCAAAAGAAAAGTTTGTGATTAGGGAAAAATTACAAATAATCCAACAAGTACTTAAAACTGAAAAGAAGCAAGAACCTATTGATTAACTGGTAACACTAAGCCACATATAGTAAGAATTTAATGTGGAGAAAGGAGCAGAGTTACAGGTAGTACTCAAGGGATTCAACCAAATCCATAGCCTGTTTACTAAACCACAGCCAGATCCAAGAACCAATGACAAAGTACCCATGAGACTGTTCCACTGAATGTATTGGGCAGTGGTAGATAAAAGATTAAGAAATATTCCTGTAGTCTCTATGAAAATGCTCAAAAATCACTGGGCAGTTTTGATTAGCGCAACTAAAATCTTTACTAAAGCAAAATAGAAGACCCTACTTTCAACTAGTATCCTGTATTCTAAAAATAAATACCATAAAAATGAAGATTCTGATTATTCTATTATATAAAGGAGTAGTTCTTGCCTTTACCATGTTATTGCCAATAGCAACACATAATTTACAAAGCAACATGCTGATGTGATAAACTTTCTAATGTATTTTTCAAAAAGAAAGCTAATTCTGTTCATATAGCATCATTGGTTCTCTTCTTTAGATCACTATTTTGTGTGCTAGTTCTGACATCCCATGAGGGGTATCAGGACAGGAAGCATACATGTCCTCCTTCCAAAATCCAAAAAAAAAAAAAAAAGGAAAGACATGTTGTAGGCCTTTTTCTCCAGCTATTTCTCCCAAGCCCAGTCAAAGCTGCTTCCTCTTCTCTCCCAGGATGACCACCTCTATTTTATCCCACACCAGTTCCCTTCGGTAGACAGCTATAATCTTCCAAAACATGCTTTCTCTCTCAAATCCAAATTGAAGATTTTTCTAACATACTTTTAATGACCCTCTTTGGCTCCAAATATTTCTAAACACTTGCTTCAAATGTTCTTCTCACATCCTGCAGATCATCTCTGTCAGCTAATGTGAAACATCTTCATTAAGCTTATCATGACAGCTACTTTTCCCCCTGTGCTTGAACTCCCTGATTGAAGACTGCAGCCTTTCTTAATGTCCTATTCTCCAACTAAATATGATCATGTGGGGTCAGTACTCAGCAGATAATACCTAGCTAAAATGTCATCATAAGTAATCATCACCTCTGAAGATATTTCTTTAAGAATTTGCCCTTGGGCTGGGGATGTGGCTCAAGCGGTAGCGAGCTCGCCTTGCATGCGTGCTGCCGGGTTTCGATCCTCAGCACCACATACAAACAAAGATGTTGTGTCCGCCAAAAGCAAAAAAATAAATATTAAAATTCTCTCTCTCTCTCTCACTCTCACTCTCTCTTTAAAAAAAATTGCCCAAACTGAATCACTTTTCTTTAAAACTGTTTACTTCCTTTCTTTCTTTTTACTTATTAGAAAATTATATCCATTAGTTTATCTCTATTGGAGCTCAGAATTAGATTAAAGATATTCCTCATATGATAGAATATGTGTTTTACTCAGCTTTCTCACTGCGGCAACTAAAGGTCCTGACCAGAACTATTTTAGGGAAGAAAACTTTATTTGGGGGCTCATGGTTTCAGAGGTCTTAGTCCATAGAAGGCTAGCTCCATTCCTCAGGGCTCAGGTTGAGGCAGAACAACATGATGGAAGAGTGTGGCAGAGGGAGTGGCTCACATGATGGTTAGGAAGCAGAGACAGAGGTCTTCACTTGCCAGACATACCTGATAGCCATGCCCCTAATGAAGCACTTCTTCCAGCCACACCCCACCTGCCTCCAGTCACCATCCAGTTAATCCCATCAAGGATTGATTTGCTGACTGGGTTAAGGCTACAACTCAATCATTTCTCCTTCAAACCTTGAATTGTCTCACATTTAAGCTTTCAGGGGCACCTCACATCCAAACCATAATATATCTGTCCCTTACCCCCAAAACCTCACACTCATCTGACAATGAAAAATATATTTAGCCCATTCCCAAGAGTCCTCATAGTATCAAAAGTTCTGAGAGTGCTTAAAGTTTAAGTACAAAGTCCTCTCTGAGGCTCAAGGCAATCTCATATTGTAAGCTCTTATAAAATTAAAAGTAGTTCACAAGTGTCCAATATATAATGGTAAAGAGTAAACATTTCCATTGACAAAATTAGAGGCATAGAAAAAAAAGGGATAGGACCAAAGCAAGACCAAAATCCAACTTGGTAAACAAGTCCTGTAGCTCCATATCCAGCATCTGAGGCACATGGCATCCTAATGTTCCCTCCAAAGGACTTGTGGAGCTCCTCCCCTGTGGGCTTGTTTGTTACAGCCCAAGTGGCCTTTCTGTTGGTGTCTCTCTGCTTGACTTCTACAGCTTTCCTAAGACCATGTCCCAAATAACTGGCATTTCTTACTCTTCAGGGTCTCCACTGCTACTTCAGCTTCCTCCTCACATCTTCACACCTTGACTTCCCAGAGGGTGCCTACACAAACTCTGACCCTGCTRCACTTTGCCTGGCCTCTCAGGCCTTCCTTTGAAATCTTGGTGGAAGCTTCCATGGGCCCCTAAATCCAGCATCCTGCATTTCTGCAGAACTAGCACCATGTGGTTGATGCCAAGGTCTGCTGCCATCTTGAGCAGTAGCCAAACCTCCAGGAGCCCTGGATGTATCAGCCTCTGAGTATCTGGGTGGCTGAGCATGTTGAAAAAACTTTGTAGGCCCCCTTGTGCAAGAAGCATGTCYCACTGGTCTCAAGAGAATTTTCACCTTTACTCCCTTGAGCTTGAGATAGATGTAGCCTTGCCCTCAAGCCACCTTTCTTATTATCTTCAGGAAAAATCTTCAGGATTTCTTTAGTGGCAGTAATGTCTTTAACAATGGCAACTTCCCTAGGCCCAGTTTTACTCCTGGCTTTCAAGTCCAAGTTTTTCAAATCTTTCTGCTCTGCTCTGTGCTTCTGAATATCACAATAAACTTTGCCAAAAGCTTCCAGCAATACCCATGGCACTTCCTGAATGTTATGCTTCCTATACATTTCTTCTACCAGATTAAAATCAGCTCCACAGAAAGTCTCAGGACAAGAGCAAAATTCAGACAACATCTCAATCAGAATACAACATAAATGGCCTCTAGTCCAAATTCCAATAGAGTCCTCCTTTTCTGAACCCTCTCTAGTCCTGTCTTCACTGTCCACAGTCCCGTTGGCTTTCTGGTCTTCTGAGCTCCCGCCAGAATTGGCCATTGAGCTCTCCTTACAACAATCTAAAGCATTTCTAGCTTGTAATGCAAAGCATCTCAAAATTCCTCCCACCAATTCCAAAATGCTCCAAAAGTTTCTGAACCACATGTTCAAGTCAGTCAGAGCAACAACCCTACTCCTTGTACCAATTTCTGTTTTAGTTAGCTTTTCTCGCTGCTATGACTAAAGAACCTGACTAGAACAATTTAGGGAAGAAAAGTTTATGTAGGGGCTCATGGTTTCAGAGATCTTTGTCCATAGAAGGCTGTCTCCATTCCTTAGGGCTCTGGTGAGACAGAACATCATGGCTGAAAAGTGTGGCAGAGGGATATAGCTCGATTTATGGTCAGGTAGCAGAGGGAGAGGTCTTCATTTGCCAGATACAAATATACATACCCCATAGCCATGCAACCCATGAACTACTTCCTCCTGCCACACCCCACCAGACTCCAGTTACCAGTTAATTCTATCAGAGATTAATTCGATGATTAGGTTAAGGATATAACTCAATCCTTTCTCCCCTAAACCTTCCTATATTGTCTCACATGTGAGCTTTTTTTTTTGGGGGGGGGGGACGACACCAATTCAAACCATAATAATATGAAACAACTCTATTTGATGGGATAGATACCAAATGACATTGCTGCACTCCCTTAAGGCACCAATATCAGTAAGCAAGGGCTTTTCTGACCACTGGGGTCTTTTTACAACATATTTTGAAAGGGATTATAACATACATGCAATCCCAAATTCAGTGCACTGATATGATACTCATTCCTTACAGGTGTCCATCTCATCCCTTTAACATATCATCTTCATATGTTCAATATGCCCTGGTTCCTGTTACAGGTCTAAATAAGAGTTTTTCTTGCTTACAAAAAGTATATGCAACATACCATGGAATCTCCTTAATATTTTTCTCTTAAGTATTTTTCTGGTGGTCAGGAGGAAAGATCAGTTTCAGAATCTTGGGCCCTGAACTAAAGAAATGTAAAGCAGAAACTGACTGGAACAAATGTACATGTTAAATCGATTAATGAATGGACATATTTTTTTTTTACTTGAAGCTTTAGATTGCCTGGAAATCAACAAATCTTACACATAAACACCAGTGGAAAAATAGAGCAATATATTTATTTGTAAGGCAGATAGACATCCCTGGAATCAAGAATTCACACTGGAGTCAAGATTCAGTCTGATGAACCATTTTGGAATCCTGAATGTGGTTGTTAATTGCTGGTCTTTGAACCATTCCCCCGAGTGCTGTGGTTCTGTCTGATGCTTTTGCCTGATGTCTAAAGCATGTCTGTTTTGTTTCAGCTGGCAGGGTTCATCTACGCCTGCTATGTTGTGAAATGTATAACTGAAGAGGAGGACAGCTGTAAGTACTAAAGCTCTATTCTGTTTCTTTCAAGTTCAAAGCTTCTTTACTGCTTCTGACCTAACCTTCCCGGTCTTGTGATAATACCCCTCAACACACCATTAGAAAAGGGAATGAGCTTTTGGTGCCTATCAGGCTAAAAGATTTTTATAAAGAAATCAGCATATTGAACAAATGGAGAATTTCTCGTTTTGCAAACATAAGTTTTTCTTTTCATTGAAAGGTATTTTAAAAATCTATTCTTGGGCTGGGGTTGTGACTCAGTGGTAGAGAACTTGCCTAGCATGTATGAGGCACTGGGTTTGATTCTCAGCGCAACAGATAGATAGATAGATGATAGATAGATAAAATAAAGTCCATCAACAACTACAAAATAATTTTTTAAAATCTATTCTTATAACAATTCTAGAGAGAGTATAGAAGGGAGAGTGGGAATGAAAGTGAATTTTAATTCGGTTAATTTGACTGTCTTCTGTTTCATAAACCACTTATTAGATATTAATAACTTGTTAGTTTCACCCAGGACTACAATTCTCAACAATCAACAATTTTCAATAGTTACTAAGATTCTTAGAAGAATTGACTTCAGATTAATTTAGAGAATTGTCTCTGGCAATTCTAATGTTCAAATATCCTTTTCATTTCTACAATTTGATACAAATGACTAGAACTTTATGTCAGAATCTCATCATTGAATCTGATTGCTTAATCCAGAGTTAAGGTAGTAGTCTGCTCACACAAACCTCATAGTGGCTCCACTGTTCTCTCCTCTTCCAAACATGGTAAGTGGTAAGTAACCCTAAGGATTTGAATTAGAAGGACCTGAGAAAGGTATATCTAGGCTCTCTGGGTCCTATCATGGGTAATTGCTAATGCTGCCATATGCATTCTGAGGAAAAATCAGAGTTGGGAGTAGGAAAGGTAGGGGGGTGGGAAGATGAGAATCCACTTCTTTCTTAAATGATGATTTGAGGGGAAACATCCAAAGAGAATTTACTTCTTCTTCACTTTCCAATCATACTGAAAGGAAGAGGGAGTATGAGATGATKAACTTACGGGAGGCAATTTTTAATCATTCTCAGGTAGGATTCTTATACTGTACATAGTTTATAATATTTTGTGTGTAAAAGGAAATGATGGTCCTTTCATTAAATAAGCACTTGTAAAATTATCCTTGATGTAAGAAGTGTTACCTAAAATCTTAGGAGATTTTAAGATGGGTAACAAACTCTTACCTCTAAGAACTTGTCATTTAGTGGGAAAAGCAAACCTGTGAACAAAATAAATGAGGAACACTCTTGAACTTCATCTTGAAAGAGAGTCATATGTTGGTATATTTCCTGGGCAACTAAGGTTGCCCAGGAAAATGGTAGAAAAACACTTAGTACATCACAGAGAAAATAATGTGAACAAATTGTATCCTGTGCTAGATGTGGACACCAGAGAAAATTAGAAAGCAAACATGGATGGGATAATAGAAAAGCAATTATGAAAGATTAAGGAATTTGAACTTTGCTTCATATAGTACAATGGCAAATCTATCAGCATGGATAAGAGACTGGGAGGGAGAAATGTTAAGAAAAGGAAAACTTCTTAAGACATAATTAAATTGATTGATATGTGAGATGATAATGATCTGAACTAAAACAAATATTGAAGATGGAGAGAAACTACATCATGATACAAATGACACAAGCTAAGATGATGTGATTGGTAGAATATGGTAGGGGACTATGGTACGGGAAAAGAAGGAGAGTGGTAGATTCTTAGATGGGTGTCTGGTGTGAATGAATGGGTAGATGGAAATGTCACTTGCAGGAAGTTGAGTGGGGATAAGACAATTAGTTCARCGTGGGCAGGTTGTATTTGCAGTGCCTAAGAGAAGCCATCTAGCTTGCTTAAAGATTAGAAAGAGTAAAAGATACATGGATTTTAAAATATATGGGCTTCACAAACTATGTTAAGTTCATTCAGATTTTATTCTTCAGTGTCTATACACCAAATCCTAAGAGAAGGAAAAGTCTGCAGGTCAGTGTTCAGCTGGAAATTGAGCTTTCCCTGGACTATAATGTTTAACTACATTTCACAATGATGTGGTTCATTTCTTTGGAAAACAATTACTGACTCACCATGTTCCCCCCATACAGATAATCAGCATCTCTCCAGAATTCCTGAACAGCACCTCTCAAAGGGGATCCCAGAAATTCCAGTTGCACAAGATATATTCCCCCACCAAAAAAAAAAAAAAAAAAAAAAAAAATCCAAAGCCAAGTAAGATCGAAGCTAAAAATTTAGAAGGTTCTTTTATTTCATTTATTTATATACATTTGTGAGAGTAGTGCATTAAAGATATCTTCCAGGGGCTGGGGTTAAGGCTCAGCGGTAAAATGCTCACCTAGCATGTGTGAGGCACTGGGTTCAATCCTCAGCACCACATAAAAATAAATAAATAAAATAAAGGTATTGTGTCCAACTACAACATATATATATATTTAAAAAAAGAGAGAGAGAGAAAGAGAAGAAGTCTTCCAGCTGGGCCTGGTAGAACATACCTGTAATCCCAGAGACTCTGGAGGCTGAAGCAGGAGGACCATAAGTTCAAAGCTAGCCTCAGCAATTTAGCAAGGTCAGTCCTAAGTAACTTGTGAGACCTTGTCTCAAAATAAAAAAATAAAAAGGGTTGGAATGTTGCTCATTGGTTAAGCAACCCTGGGTTCAATCCCTAATACTAAAAAAAAAAAAAAAAAAAAAAAGTTAAACTATTTTCTAATTCAGTTTTGTTTTAACTGTTCGTTATTACTTTAGGTGAGGCAGAGGAGTAAGGATAGACACAGATAAAAGAGAGAAACCAGAAAACCAGAAGGAGTTTCATAGTTTTATTATACCTACAGTTACCTGGAGAGAACACAGATAGGGCCACCCAGGGGAAGCAGCAAGGTCAGCCCCGACTCAGAGAGTGAGAGTAGAACTTTTATCTTGGTTCCTGCACGAAGGGATGGGCACAGCATGGTAGGCAGATGAAGGATCCACCAACTGTTTTTGAAAGTGGTGGCCCTGTGAAATTCATGTTCCCTGTGACTATTAAAGCATAGAGTTTAGAGCTGTCTAAAGTCTCCAGATGATTTAGAGCAAGCCAGGGATACTTGGAAATAGTTATCTTTTGGTAGATGTTACAGCTTCAATTTACAGAAATTAAAAGCTTGGTGAATACAAGTCTCCCCAGTATTTAAACATAGAGCTCTTTCATTAAAAATCTTAATATTCCACAAAATTAGAATTCCTGGGAATGCATCTTAGAGGATTTCTCCCTAGGTCAAATTTTAGCCAAAACCATGTAAATCCAGGGAGATAAGACACCATCAATATACTTTGTAATATCAATTTTATTGCTCAAGTATCTAAGAAACTTTGCAAAAATTTCCAAAAAATAATGTGTATGTCTTTTTACATATTTTGGTGACAATTGCTTATCTCTCTTTACTAATCAAAAACAACAACAACAAAAAAAACTTCAYATAGCAAGTTTCCCAATGTTAGTCTTACTGATTTGCAGGCAAGATATGAAGTCATTTTGTTGTTTATTTGTTTGTTTTTTTTAATTTTTATATCCAAGTAGACTAACACACATTTTCAATGTTCATGGGACTAATGAACAACCTGGAAGAGATGCTCAATTAGGGCTGTTTTATGTCCTCTAACTTTCGATGACTAATAGTATGTTAATTTACTTGTAGTCATTCATAAAGGGACAGACAATCAGGAGTATTTGTTGAGTACCCTGCTTTAGGTTATATTTACCATATATTGTTCTGGTCAAGTTCTCTATTCTGTGTTCACCTCCAGACATTGCCTAGACATCTGACTTCTGATGCTCTAAAAAAATTTGAAATTTCTTTCTAACTTTTGGTAGTTACACTACCTTGACCCATAAAATTCTTAGTGAAAGTAAAAATAAAATAGTGCTCTCAGAAAGCAGCTCCTGCAGCATAAGAGATGTTTCATATATGTGTAAATGCTCAGGGACCTTATTCTCTGTGTCTACTCTTATCTGCTGTGCTTTTACAATGAGGCATCMTGATAGGAGTGTACTGGCAAGAGTAGGTGCCAGCTACCTGCTCTCTAAAGGAGTTAAGTTTCCCTTCCTAAGCACCTCATGAGGAGCAGAGGGTAGCTTGGGTTCTGTGCCTTGTGCTGAGAGTGGGCTGCAGAGATAAGGGCCAGTTATGACAGCTGTATAAATAATAGCCTTGAAGCCAGTCTGAGGCTAACCTGCTTTGTCCTTAGTTCTGATATCCAGGCTCACAGCAGCAAATGCACCCAGGAAGCCTCAGAGAAAGAGAAAACTTCAAGGAGCCATGGAGCAAAGATTCAAGTTTAGACTTGAAATAGCAATAAATCACTGTTGAAATAGGAGAGAGAGTTAGACCACAGACACACAGATGCCTGAGAATACTTTCTTCTCCTTTTAAACAGTGTCTCATTTAATTTCCTAGATCCCAGTTTAATTTCTGTTTATGTAGATACCATATTAGTCCACATCGGCTACTATAATAAAACACCGTGAACAGGATGGCTAATAAACAAAAGAAACTTTTTGCTCACAGTTCTGGAGACTGAAGTCCAAGATCAAGGTGCCTGCACATTTGGTGGGGTCTGGTGAGGTCTTGTTTTCTGGATCACAGATCATACTTCCTTGCCGTGTCCTCACATTTTGGAAGGGGAGATCTCTGGGGCCTCTTTTCTGAGGACACGAAACCTATTCATGAACCCTTATGACCTAATCACCTCCCAAAGCACCATCATGTTGCTGATTAGGTTTCAATATACGAATYTTAGGGAAATGCAAACATTTAGTAGACACTTTAAGGTAATTTCTTYTTCCCATGAAAAGGACTGGACCTTGACATTTTCATCTTTGACCCTTTAGTTATCTAAACTAGAGCTGTAGCCTGGCAAGCTAGTTGAGTGTGCAAAATCACGGAACACCACTGCCATCTGCT